GTGTCACACACGGGCCACATCTGGCCCACATACAGCAGGCCAGAACTCACACTACACCCGGGGTGTCACACACGGGCCTCATCTGGCCCACATACAGCAGGCCAGAACTCACACTACACCCGGGGTGTCACACACGGGCCACATCTGGCCCACATACAGAAGGCCAGAACTCACACTACACCCGGGGTGTCACACACGGGCCACATCTGGCCCACATACAGCAGGCCAGAACTCACACTACACCCAGGGTGTCACACACGGGCCACATCTGGCCCACATACGGCAGGCCACAACTCACACTACACCCGGTGTGTCACACACGGGCCACATCTGGCCCACATACAGCAGGCCACAACTCACACTACACCCGGGGTATCACACACGGGCCACATCTGGCCCACATACAGCAGGCCACAACTCACACTACACCCGGTGTGACACATATGGGCCAGATGTGGCCCATATGTCTCCTGCCATTGCCAGAAGTGAGCCATATGTGCCTTAGTTGGCCCAGATGTGGCCCAGAACTGTATGCTATCTGGGTCGGAAACAGGCAGCCCCCCCTGCCCAGAAGGCCGCTAAGTCCAGCAATGGACTGCGAAGAGTCCCTGGGACAGGCCATCTGGAGAAGAGGGAACTTGTTCTTTCCCCACTGGAGGGCGGGGCCCCATTTCCAACAGCACTTTTTACTGCCATGAAAACATCATGAAAGAGCACTTTTCCACTTCCCCGGATGTGACAGCCCGAAATCTGCCAGTCTGGGATGCTATGCTTTCTAGCTTGCAGGTTTGGTGCGTTTTGCCAGTGGCTCACGAGTGCTGGGAGGACGGTCTCCTTTCTCCCACCCCTCGAGCCTCCCCTCCGGAGCTCGGGTGCGGAGTGAGAGCAAATCTCTCACCACCAGCTCTTCCGTGGGACCCGCGCGCTTCCCAGATCAGCACACCCACTCCGCACTGCCCCACTGCTGGTACATCAGCGATTGTATGCTATGCATCAGAGACGGATAGCATACTTCATAATTTAGCGATGTTTCTCAGATGAAAGAAGGCAGTTTTTGTGACATGGGATATATGATTTTCAAAAGTTAAATTGCTGTTTAATATGACACCCAAATCTTTTATAGTAGCGCTAATGCTAACTTTGTATCCCTCTAATTGTAGATTAAGTTGCGAGATCTGCTGTGTACAGGATTTAGGCCCAATGAGTTCAAGAGAAGAAATTGTTGGTCATCCAGTCTTTAACATCTTTAATACAGTCAGTTAGATTAGACAGTTCAGACATCTCATCAGGTTTAGTTGAAATATATAATTGAGTATATTAGCAGTGAGTATATTAGCAATTGAGTATACATAGCTGTGAAAGCTGATCCCATGTCTTTTAATAATGTCTCCCAGAGGTAGCATGTAAATTGTAAACAGCAAAGGGCCTAAAACTGATCCGTGAGGCACCCCATACTTTACTGGGTTGACTTGTGAAGGCTGTCCATTAATATTCACAAACTGGTAACGGTCAGTTAAGTATGACTTAAACCATTGTAGAGCCTGTCCCTGGACACCTGTAGACTTTAAGTGATTTTTGAGGATATTGTGGTAAATGGTGTCAAATGCCTCACTAAGACCGAGTAAAACTAATAGCGAAATGCCCCCTTGGTCAGCAGCTAAGAGTAGATCATTGGTTATTTTCATTGAAGCGGTTTCTGTACTGTGATGAGCTCTGAAACCTGACTGAAACACTTCAAAAATATTGTTCGTCTGCAGAAAGGAGCATAATTGGGTTGAAACAACTTTTTCTGATATTTTAGACATAAACGGAAGATTTGAAATAGGCCTTTAATTAGCTAAGTTGCTGGGGTCCAGTTGCAGTTTCTTAATAATAGGCTTAATAACAGCTAGCTTTTAAGAGTTTGGAACATGGCCTATAGATAAAAAAGAGTTGATAATGTTAAGAAGAGGTTCTCCTATAGCAGGTAGCAGCTCTTTCAGTAATTTTGTTGGAATTGAGTACAACATACACGTAGCTGGTTTAGAGCTATTTATAATTTTATCTAGCTCTTCCTGTTCTATGATTTTCAAGCACTGTAGGTTATTATGATTCAGTGAAATATTTACAGGATTTGGAGAAAAAGCCGTTGCAGAAAGTTTAATATCTCCTATTTTCTGTCTAAAGCCTTTTATTTTATTGCTGAAAAAATTCATAAAGTCATCACTACTAATTTGCGGTGGAACATTTTGTTCCAAAGATGACCGATTATTTGCTAATTTAGCAATGGTGTCAAATAAACATCTAGGATTGTTATGATTTTTTCTATCAGTTTGCGTATTTGCTTAGCCCTGGCAGATTTTAGAGGTCTCCATTAGCTGGACATACTGCCTTTGTACGCAACTCTAAAGACTTCTAAATTAGTTTTTTTCCATTTACGTTCCAGGGCACGGGTTGCTGTTTTGAGAGCGCGAGTATGACTATTATACCATGGTGTAATTTTATTCTCTCCAGCCTTTTTTAATTTGATGGGTGCCACAGTATTTAGTGTGCTAGTAAAGATGGCATCCATACTGCTGGTTACTACATCTCTTAGAAAAAACGTAAACAAAGCATTTGAGATATACATTAACCAGACCGTCAATAGTGTTTAAACAGCTAATAATTATAAACAATATCAAGATATAGTAGCTCTGGGAATTGGGTGAACATAAATGGCATTGTGCTTACAAGTCCTCTTAGAGTGGAAATGTTAATGATTGCTGCTTTATTACAGGCCTAGTGCCCCACTGGCTTTGGCTGCCATTTGTAAATATGGTAGATACACCTTTATAAAAGAAAGAGAACAGTTACATATCTATTTATTCAATATTTATTTGTCACACTTATAAAGAGATGTTTACTCTTGGCACAGTTCACATTTCTAAAAGTTCAGTTTTAAACTGTTTATTTTAATATCAAGATAAACTATCTGGTACTGCTTTCATTATGGCAATAAATGTCAGGTAAAATGACAAACACATTATTAGCATTTAGCACTAAATAAAGTACATAAGGTGTACCTGAGGTGATCATTGTCAGTTTATCCTATTGTTCAGCTGCAAGAAATAGAAACCATTTCTAAAATAGAAATTTCAGGTGACTGTTAGCTTAGACGGGTAAATTTAAATGGTGAAGGTTACAAACACTCCTTTTAATATGGAAAATACTTCTATCGCGTGTCATTGCTTTTAGTTAGGACACAGATTAGATTCGATAGTCAGGCACGCTCCTGTTGGTGTCGTAAATCTGGCAACCTGTGCTTGCATTAGAGGAGGAGCTAAGTGTAAAAGTGTTTAAAACTAGGAGTGCAATACCTAGGTCAACCCCTGGGTGTCAATCTTACATACTGCATCTTTACCTGTTGCCAAGTTTAGTAAGTCAGGCTCACCCAAAGTGGCCCTTAAGTGTTTTTTTGTGAATTCAGGTGCATTCCACGCCCATTTTCATCTGATGTATTTTACTGTGTCATACTGCCTGTCATTAAGTTTGAGAAGTAAAAAAAAAGAACAATTAGACAAAGATTTCGTGATTTCGTTGATCTATGCTATCAATTGACACTAACAGTAACTCATTGTCATGCTGGTTAATGATTTGCAGATGTTATAGGCTTAGTAAAACAGTGGCAGTTGTTTCAAAGAGAGGTGTGGTCTCTGTAGAGAAAATAAAATAAATGATATGATAAATGATAATGTATTTCCAAGACGTTGTTTGGTTTACTTAGAAAAACATGAATAACTTATGTGTAGAATAACCGAGCTGACGTTTTCAATAAGCTCTTTGGCTTTTAGCTTCAATAAGCAACAAGCAGTCAAAGCCGGATGTCGTTTGTAAGGGGCCAGACCTTACATATTGACATCAAAATGCTAAATGTGATTCTGACTCCAGAATACTCAATATAGGTACATTTTCAATTTATACCCAAAAAAGAAATGTATGGTCATACTTTGTATAGAAAAAATCATTACAGACTTTTAAGTAAAAAATAAGGATCTTAGTTGTGTACCATGTTTTCCGGGTAAGAAGGCATAGTGGAAACGTGTATCTAGAAAGAGGGAAGAAAGCAGACCCTTTTGGGAAGCTAATAGGTCTTGGAGAATTTGACTCTGGCAAATTGCATTTATGCAAGCATGACTACTGAATGGTAGTTGATCCTTAATAAAATGCACCCACAAGTGTCATAAAGTGCAAGATGGAATGAAAAAGTGTACATCACATTTGCTTGTTGACTGGGAATCAGACTGGGCATCTGGTCATAGAACAATTTGAAAAGGTGTCAAACTACATTCCAGTATTTTTGAAACACACCTACTTGTAGGTTTCAATCAAGCCTGAAGGATACAGTTAGACTGAACAGATGTGTTTACTTAGGGTTAAAACTAAATTGCGTAGAAATGTGGCCCTCCAGCAACTAAGTTTGACTCATACATGTTCGTCCTCACTGCCCAAGCTGGCGCGTCCATAAAGGGCGCTAAAACAATAGTGAAGGATGCGTCCGGTGAACACCCCCCGTCCTCATCTCCATCCGCAACAAAGTTCTCTGCTTGGCAGACAGGTTTATTAGTTTTTACCTGATTTTGGACAATAATTAGACATTTACAGGAGTTTCCATATGGAAAGTCAATGATTCGATCTCAGCTTGGAGCTGGTTGGGTGGCGTAGGACTGGTGGAGGTTACTTAGACACTTTAATGATATTAGATAAGTGCATTTATAGGCTATATGTTAAAAAAATTATTTCTAATGTATGGTCTGCCTGAGTTTTTGTTGCATTTACATGGTTTTGACCACCAGGTGTCCCTAGCACATAGTGTTTCTAAGGCTGCCAAACTCAGTTGCTGCCAATGCTTTGAACAGTTTTGTTTCTCCCATCACAACTAAAAATGCAAATAGTTAATATTACAGTTAGCAAAAAAAATGTTACTCAAACTCACTAGCAAGCATTTATTACAAACAAATAAACAATCTCCACATAATAGGGTTGGTTTGTTGATTTATTGTCCATGTAATAACATTCATAAAGCAAAAAAACAAAACAAAAAAACATTAATTACAATAAAAGAGTTCATGAGTCTATAGAAGAACTATATTTCCTGACACAAATACTTGTTAAATTAAACCCAAATTCAAGTATTTAATCACATGATATGAATAGGTACCTACCCACCACACAGTAAATGCTGTCCTCTAGTGGATGAACAACAATATTCACCCATTAGGATTTTCCCCACACTACTGTTGATCTCCAAGTACTTCCAAAAGCATTCTCAATACACTTACTAACAAAGCAATAGTAAATTAGGCTCCATATAAATGTAAATCTTATTTTATCTTAGAATATATTTTTCATACTTTCCATTTCATGGATAACAATTCATTCATTCATTCATTCATTTTCTTTTAGGCTTAGTCCTTTTATTAATCTTGGGTTGCCACAGCGGAATGAACCGCCAACTTATCCAGCACACTTTTTTTTGCAGCGGATGCCCTTCCAGCTGCAACCCTTCTCTGGGAAGGATTATAATATATGTTTTTTTTTTTTTTAAATTTAATTCAGTCTGCTCCTTTGGTGTCATTATTGTGTATTATGGCTCATTTGGTGTCATTATTGTGTATTATGCTCTATGTAAGATATTGCTTTAACAGTATTTAAGGCGTTTAGTCTTTCCACTCCTCAGCGTCCTGGTGTCACCCCTTTGCCAACCTATTAATAATTTTCTAGAACCACCCATGTATGTTTGATAAAAGAAGTTTCTGCAATGTACGATAAAAAACACAGTACCGCTTTATAAGTTCATTAAGTGATTAGCTTCATTAAGTGATTACTGGTACAAATATGGCTTTATATCAATAATGTGTCAGTCATAAACATACAATAAGAGATAATAATGTGGTTTTTATGGCTAATGAATTAAATCGAGCAGTTTGGACCTGGATCAGCCATTTTGAGAGTTCTCATGTTGGAGATATTTTTTCTTCTTCTGGTTTACCAGGGCAGAGTTGCTCCAGTGTAGTCCAGAAATCCACCATGCTCCTTCTCGGTAAGACCACCAATGACACGCAGCATCCCCTCCACACTCTCTTTCGGTTCAAGTGTCGCCTGGCGAAAATAAAAACAAACATGTCACTAAAAAAAGCTATTTTATACCTTCCTCAAATATGTTTAGAATAATAAAGTTAGAATACTATAAAAGGTAATGTCAATCACGTGTGCAAAATAAAATATAAATGGTAGAAATGGTTTAAAAATGATCAAAATCAGCATAAACCAAAGATTTAGAGGAGAACATTAAGACAATCATGTGGTTTAAACTAACTTCATAAAAATGTCATTCAGTGTTGGGCAAGCTACTTGAAAAATGTAGTGAGCTAAGCTATTAGCTACCTTACTTAAAATGTAGCTTAACTACACTAAAAGCTACACTCAGGGAATTGTAGCCAGCTAAGCTAAAAGCTACTTGGCAAAAGTATCTTAGCTACATCTAAGCTATTTTTGCCATTTTCATCTTTAAATCAAAGCAACTTAAATCTAAGTCAAGTATATCTTAGTAATCAATAAAACTGTTAATGAAACATATGCGGCATGATTGCTCATTTCAATTATTTATTGTAAATTATATCCTGTATACAGAAACAAATTACGGTATATGATAGCAAAAACAAAACTAATAAAACCAGGTTACACATTCAAAATAATATAGTAATTTATAGTAAAGAAGAATATTTAGGAATAAGCATTAGATTGTAAATATATTTGCAACTCTTCATTAATGGATTACACTACATAATGCAGTATCATTAGTAACTATCATGAACTAATAGTAATTACCATTACTAGGAATAATTACCAGTTTACCACTACAGTAATCATATATATTAATTTGAGTACTATTGTGTAGTTCAAAAACATAGTTCTTACTATAAATCAGTGAAGTGTTTGAGCATAACATCAGAATTACCACTATTACATGTTAACATGTACTGCTCGAGGTATGGTCTAAAAGTTTGTTGTTGACCATTGTAAAAAGTACAAGAAGAAATCATCAATGTCGGGATCATATGAATTTACTTACATCGGGACACCGGCCTCACAGCTCCGTGAATGACGGTGCCGTCACTTATTCATTTGCAATCAGCAAATGTAGCTTGTGTGAACGCTACTGCACTACTTGCTTAAAATAATAGCTTCACTACTAAAAAGCTATTTGGTTTAAAAAGTAGTGACACCATCACGCTACTGAGAAATGTAGTTAAGCTAGTAGCATCACTACTTGTAGTGACGCTTTTGCCCAACACTGGCGACATTGTAATCATACAGAACTGTTTGAACCACACTAAAAGTGTCATAGACTTATAATAAACCCAACATTTCACATTTACCATTCAGGGGTACGTTAACAAAAACCATCGTTAGCCAACTAAGGTCGCAAGTTGCATCGTTACAAACATAGTTTGTTAATTTGGCATTTCTCAAATTCATCGTTCCAACGACTAGTCGCAAACATTCTTTCGAGCTGTAGTTAGAAGCCTGGTTGTGTTCCTTTTTTCAGTTACCCCCCCATGCCCTATTCCTTTCGAACCTTTCAACTTTTAAATTTGGAATGATTTAAAACAACAACAACATTCAACAACAAGCCATCTCTCTTACGTGGAGTTTGCTTTCCAAGGTTTTTTTTACAGTTCAGTTTTAGCGATCTTCATATTGACAATTGTGTTCCTTTCGCCATGCACTTTGAAAACATTTGTCATTTTGAACGCAGCTGTGCGTTTACTATTATAAAGCAGAATTTAGATTATGTCTCCTAAGCTTGTGAACACATAAATATATAGCATACTTTTAATTTAATAAATATAATCTAACCAAAAAAATTATGGAGTTGCTCCTCCACCCCGTTTATAGCCTCATGTTGGACGTTTTACATTATGGTTAAACGACAGATCTGCAACAGAGAAACTACAGTCTTGGGAAACATTCTACATTGTTCTTTTCCCAAACAATGCATCGTACTATGAATCGCGAGTTACATCATTGTTTGGGAACTGTACCCCAGAGCTATTGGTTTCAATTGACTACATACTTTTTCATTAGCCTGTATTTGTGACTTTAGTTTGAAAATCCTTTTAACAAAAAAAAAAAAAAAAAACAAAAAAAAAAAAAAAAAAAAAAAAACAAAAAAAACAAAAAAACTCCCTGTTAGTGTGTAACGAGGAGACTGACACGGAGGGATCCATTATGCAGTATTTATTGATCACAATCTCACTCAAACACACAATATGCACCTGGGTGCACACACACATCCACAGTAGTAGTAATGGTTTCAAGAATGACGATGAACAGACACAGAGTGAGTTACCAGGCATGAGTGGAGAACAGAGGGCGTGAATCAGAGTCTGTGTATCAGGCGTGGGTCGTGGGCAGGCAGAAGGCGAAGCAAAGTAAGAGACAGGCTGGAGTCGTACACAAGAGATCAGGCTGGATATAACGCTCAGTAATGCTGGCCGGGGCTGAACAAGACTTTGCACTGACTGAGAGTTTGAGTGCGGCTTATAAGAGGTACGTGGGTCGTTAACATGATTCAGATCAGGTGTATGCGCAATCAGTGTAGATGGATGATGTAATGCTAAAAGTCTGGAGATGGTGACCTCTGCTGGCCAGTGAGGGGAATGACCGGGACCGAGTCGGTGACATAGTGTTAATAAAAAAGCACTCACATTTTTTCCACCCAGATCAGTCTTTACCCATCCCGGATGAAGCACCATGCAGAGAATCTCATCCCCCTTTACCTCCTCAGCAGCCAAAACAGTCAGCATGTTAAATCCTGCCTGAAAGATAAACACAATGTACTGTATGAGATAAAGATCAACTCATTCCCTTAACACCTCAGGGGCAATAAAGTGAATTCAGTGTTACTATTGCAAAAGCAAGACTTTGGTGTACCTTGCTCACACAATATGGCAGCACTGGGAACTGAGAGAACATTGCTGGCATTTTAGTCATAGATCCTCCAAGAGTGGAAATGTTGATGATCGCTGCTTTATTACTGGACATGCCTGGTGTCCCACTTGCTTTGGCTGCTGTCTGTAGATATGGAAGATACTCCTACACAGAAAAAAAAAAGAAGTTGAACTAACACAGTACCATCAATAATGATTTCTGGCTTGGGATTTTGTTAAATTTGTTGGCCTGTTTTTTAACATCAAGGAACAAATCAATAGTGAATAAAAGCAAAAAATAAAGGGGATTACAGGGGATATATAAATTACATGAAATTCACATAAGAAAATGATTATAAAATTACATAGATTTTTTATTTATAATGTTTTTTAGGGTTTTGATTTAATGCTTTAGATCAAATTTAAACAAATAAATGTTAAGGATTGGACCATTTTTTTGTTTACATGGTACATAATGGTTCCCATATATAAAACAAATTTTACTCCAAAGTTTTATTATTATTGTGTGTCAAAAAATATCTTTACAAGAAAATTGAACTTTTAATCTTGTAAGTAAATATAAGATATTCAACATCAAACCAACACATTTGGGTATATGTGCAATTAAAAAACGCATCATCTTAAAAAAGGGGACTGATCACTAATTGAGTGATGTAATACATTAATAGAGGACAGAAACTTGAGGCAAATATAGTGACAGAACAAACTGACTGGTCAGGACTACTTGTAGAATAGATATAACAAACAGTGCAAAAAACTGTGAGCTCATTTTACAATGCAGCTGCGTGTTTGTGCAATCAGGCTAAGAAACCAGTTTAACAAGTTTAAGCTTTTCATTTTGTGCAATACCACAAACTCTGGCACAGAACTAGCTCTTTCCCAGAAGTGATCCCATTATAATAGTCTAGTCACATACATGTGTTCTGGTGGTTCAGATGTTTACCCACACTGTTAACCCTTACTGTAGATTATTCAGTAATATAACTGTAAAATATCCAGTGTTTTGCTGTTTAGCAGTTCAGATGCAGAGTCTGCTGTTTTAAGCCATGAATAAGATTCTACAACGAGTAAGTAAAATGTGTTCAAATGTTTTTGAGGGTTTCTAAATTAAGTCTGTGTATTAAGTTATAATGTTGTTATCTTATATTGTTTACTTGAAGGCTACACTGTTAGCTAGTTAGACTCTCCTCATATCTTCTTAGCTTCATTAGTTTCATTTGTAAGCATATTTATTCATTGGATATTGCCTATGTCCATAATGTACAGTCTTTTTGGCAAATAAGCAGATTTTATACACATAAAAACCCTTAAATTCCAATCTCCTCAGTTAGATAGCTAGTGTACACAGGAATTATCACAGGGATTTTCAAACCTCCACTGTCAGTTCCCAAGTTGTGAATTTGTTGCTAAGTATTTTTCAGAGCTGTGTTTCCAACTGTCAATTCATACTTTTTAAAGTAAATAATAATAAAGAATGAATCCTTTGGATTCTCTGTGTTGCCAACTTTATTTTAGTTTTTATAATTATTTTCATTATTTAATTTTTTAAAAATTGATGTGACTGTTTTTAGACAAACATATTTCTAAGCATATCAAGAGTAAGTATGTGTGTGTAACTTAATTTTTTTTCTTTTTATGTTTTAACCGCATAGTATTTTAACCTTGTAAATCAAAAGTCAAGTAATGCCACATTAGAGCTTATTCAACGGTAAGTAATATACTGTATATTACGGAAGCCCTGAACCGCAAGGTGAAAAAAAGCAATCTTGGTGGTAAGGAAAAAAACAAAAATATGTCGTTATAACAACATAATATCTTATTATACTAACATAATATCTCGTTATAATGACATAATTATGTCGAAATAACAATTACTGTACGTTGAAATAACAACTTTATTAAGTCGTTATTTTGACATACACTGTTAGACCTTACCAGGGTTTTTTACAGTAGAACACTGGCAACACTGTTGCCAGCCGCTCACTGTAAAAGTTTGGTTACAGTAAGTAACTGGCAACAGTGTTGCCAGTTAATTACTGTAACTGAACCATTACATTGAGTGGCTGGCAACAGTGTTGCCAGTTATTTACTGTAACTGAACCATTACAGTGAGTGGCTGGCAACAGTGTTGCCAGTTATTTACTGTAACTGAACCGATACAGGGAGTAGCTGGCAACAGTGTTGCCAGTTAATTACTGTAATAGAGCAGCAGTGGTAATTAACTGGAAACTGTGTACAGTTAATTACTGTATTGTAGTGTTACAAATCACAGCATTATACTGCATACACATTTATAGTATGTCATATATAGTTATTGTAGTGTTACTAAAATTAATCAGTATTCTTAGCTGTTATTTAAAAATAGAAGGCATAACATTTTTCAGACAAATTTATTTTATTGTTTTGGCACCAAACAAATAAATAACAGAAAAAGTATAAAAAAATTAAGAAATCAGCAGATATAAATATTGTCTTGCATATTATAGGTCTGCACAGTAAGGCTGCAGTCACACTAACATTTGAGCAAGCAAAATTCTGTCATACTGCACTGCGAAGTGGAATTAAACAAAGCGAGGAGTGGAATAAAACAAAATAATTAGAGATTGAAAAAGCAAGCCAGAGAGGTCATGTTCTGATCTTTGATTGGTATCAAGCAATCACATGATGTGATTTCGCATGTCATCGTTCTCCAAGCTTGAACTTTCCAATGCTGCGAATTATGAAATTTGTCGCATGAGCTATCATTCCAGGTCTGCAGTACTCACATGCGTATGAATGGAAGTCTATAGGAAGAAAAGTGCAGTGTGACAGGGACTTTAAGCTGTAACTCTAATTAAACACACCTGATCAAACTAATTAAGGCTTGTTAGAAATCTACAGGTAATGTTGAAGCAGGGTGGGTACTAAACTCTGCTGCCCTGCAGTTCTCCAGGAACTTGGAGTTTGACCCCCATGGTATACAGCAGTGGTGCTCAATCCTGTTCCTGGATATCTACCTTCCTGCAGATTTCAGTTGCTACCCATATCAAACACACCTGCCTGTAATTATCAAGTGGTGTTCAGGTCCTAATTAATTGGTTTAGGTGTGTTTGAAATGAATAGCAACTAAAATCTGCTGGAAGGTAGATCAGCAAATGAACAGCAAAAAACACAACATAATTATTTTAAAGTTTAAAGTTTTAAATAATTAAAAACTGTGTTAAATCTCAATAAAAATTTTAGTAAGTAATTATAAAAAATAAAGTTGGCAACACCGAAAAACCAAAGGATCCAATCTTTTATTGTTATAATTATCTCATGACAACAAACTTTATTATTGTTTCTAATATAAATTCATAGGTGGAAACACTGCTCTGAAAAATACTTAGCAACAAACTCACAACCTGGGACCGGACAGTGGAGCTTTTGTGAGTGGATGGCTATGTGTATCATGTTTTTGTGATTCCCTGTGATGATGTGCACATGTTACCTTACTGAGATGATGGAATTTAATTTTGGCTTAGTTGCCAGAAAGATACATACAACTGTTAGCATCTGTACATTATGGCAGTATGCAATATCCAATAAATACTTAAACAAAAGTAATGTAAGAAGTTATATGAGGAGAGGCTAACAATGTAGCTTTCAAGTACACAGTTCAAGATAACAACAATATAACTTAAAACACAGCCTTATTTTATAAACCCTCAAAAACATTTGAACACATTTTACTTACTCATTATAGATTCTTATTTAAAGTCTAAAACATATCAGACTCTACATCTGAATTGATGGACAGAGAATAGAGCGCACTCAGCAGTAAACAAATCAAACACCTGGCTCCCTTAAAGGGCCAGCATTTTCTGAAAACTATTTCTAACACCTTTGTGTTTAGAATAAGACAGACAGCCTGTGGGAGTGTATGGTGATGCCTAAATCATTATTTTCTGCCTTTAAAATGCACGTCTATATAAATAGCAACATAAACCATCAGAGAATTTATTGGAATTAATTCTTTGCACTACACAATTTCATACAAAGTCTACTCCTTTAACAGTAAAATAATGTGTTAATAAATAATAAATGTTTTCTTTTATTACAGCAAAACACTGGCTATTTTGCAGTTATTTACTGCACAATCTACAGAGTAACAGTGCAGTTATACTAATTAAACACACCTGATCAAACTAAATCTAAAGGTAGTGTGTTGAAGAAGGGCTGGAACTAAATTCTGCTGGGCTGCGGCCCTCCAGGAGTTTGACATCCTTGGTACATAGCATATTTTCAAAGGAATTGCCTACATTTATCACAATCATGCACATATCATTGAATAAAAACAATAATATACAAACAATATACAAACGTCATCCAAAGCAAAAAAAATAAAAAATAAATAAATATTCTGATCCTCATGTTGTTCCAAACCTGTAGTAATAATAATAATAATAAACAAATAACCTGATTAATACATTTATTTAAGTCTTTATACTATACTGTTAATGCCATTTTTACCTACTTCATTTGAAGTTTTCCAAACAAATTCATTGAGTCTCTGCGAAAATGTTTGTACGTGCTGTTTAACATATTTTTTAAATAACACATTTTTACTAGTTAATTAGCAAAATGCTAATATTCAGCTTAAAGTGCAATTTAAAAGCTTAACTATTGGCTAAACTAGGCAAATTAAATTAATTATAGAATAGTAAACAAAGTTATAAAAATGATTGTGATAATTTGGTTGCTCTGTGTGAATATTTTTGCCTTTAAATGCATCTCGTCGATATCTTTACCTTTTAATTAGCTCTGTGACTTTGACATTGGTTGACTCCTGATACTCAATGTTAAAAACATAAAAGGAACCAAAGAAAACACAGAGATGGCTCACTTTCTCCTCAATACTGACCATACACATACCAAAACTGAACAGTATATATATATATATATATATATATATATATATATATATATATATATATATATATAGCAACATAAAGCAGTACATGGGGTAATAATGGTTGAGCAGTAATTTACCATTTATTATCACAGTAACTATCTGTAATGGGTACATAAAGTAAATTACTGTAATTTATTCTTTGCACTACAAAATTTCATACAAATCCTGCTCCTTTTACAGTAAAATACTGTTTCCTTTTAATACAGCAAAACACTGCCTATTTTACAGTTATTTACTGCATAATCTACAGTAAGGGTTAACAGTGTAGCCTAACTGTGTTAATTTCTACTGTATATGGGCCACAAGATGGCAGAATAAGACTAGGAACAGGTCAATGTGCATGCTTAAAGTAAAATCTTTAAGGTTCCGAAATTATCGAGTGTTATTGTGGGAACTTACCAGGCCTATTCTTTTAAATAGGCACTGGCGTGTTCACTTGTTGTTCCAGAATAATCTTTTGACATTAAATGTAATCCGTAAATAGCCGTAAAAGGTTGTATAACACTGTAGGCGTTTATTAGCCTAGTTTTTGCAAGACATGATGTTGAATAATTTATTAATTTAGCATAGTTTTGTAACGTTTTAACTGTCTATACTGGATATTCATTTATCACATTTGGTTTATATGTTAGTATGTTTTGTTAGTGGTAAGACTGTTAAGAGAAAATCCCGTTCCTACATGTATTAGCCTTTAATGTTTACTTTAATATTTAATTTTTTAAACCATTTGTTAAAATGTGGTACGTTCTAAATAATTAGGGCATTGGGGGGTAGCCAAACAGGAAATAGAACACTGCCAGGAACTACTTCTGAATACAGCTCAAGGGAAAAGCCAAGCTAACGAGGAGTTTCTTATGGACTATTAAATGTTAAACACCATTATTGTTATTATTATTATTGGTATTATTATTATTATTATTGAATCAACGACCCACACGTTCTAATTTAAACCAATTCCAACTTAATAATCATAATTGTGAGCAAAGTGCTGTACCAGCAGTTTTTCCATATTTTAGTCCTATTGTAGACCTATTTTATTGTTTTTTTGCACTGACACTTTGATTAAAAAACATTTATCTGCCTGGATACTTCAAACTGGCACTACACCCCATTTCCTCTGTCTCAAACAGAAACCAAAACCATGAACGCTTACATTAAGGAGGAGTTGGAGAAAGGATTTTTACGCCCCTCTATATCACCCACATCTGCAGGCTTCTTCTTTGTGGAGAAAAAAGATAGAACCTGCATCTCCTTCCTGGGATACATAATCAGTGCGAATGGATTGGCAATGGACGAAGAAAAGGTAAACGCTGTAGTTAACTGGCCAAAGCCGAAGACAGTTAAAGAACTGCAACGCTTTCTGGGGTTTGCCAATTTCTACAGGAGATTTATAAGAAAATTCAGTTCCGTGGCCGCACCGCTTACCTCGATGGTAAAAGGAGGAAATCCCAAGCTGAGCTGGAACCATGATGCTATCCGGGCATTCAATCACCTCAAAGCCCGATTCTCATCGGCACCTATCCTCTGCCACCCTGACCCTAATTTACCTTTCGTCCTCGAAATAGATGCTTCCAATACTGGCATCGGAGCTGTGCTCTCCCAAAGGCAAGTGATGTCGAACAAGCTCCACCCCTGCTCCTTCTTCTCGCGCAAGCTCAACTCGGCCAAGAAAAATTATGATATGGGCAATCGTGAACTTCTCGCCATGAAAGCTGCGATAGAAGACTGGAGACACTGGCTGGAAGGAGCTCGACATCCCTTTACGGTAATCACCGACCACAAGAACTTAGAATACATCCAGCCATCCATACTCAAATACTCAATCTTACAATACTCAGCCAAAAGACGTAATCCCCGGCAGGCCAAATGGGCACTATTCTTCACACGCTTCAATTTTTCGGTAACATATATCCCCGGTTCCAAAAATATAAAAGCTGATGCACTTTCTCGTCTTTCTGAGGAGGAACCAAATAAAGAAGAAGATTAGCCCATTATTCAAGATTCAATCATCCTGGCTCCCATTACTTGGGACATTGACACTGAAATCTCTCAAGTGTCCAACAAACATCCTACACCTCCAGCCTGTCCCGCGGACAAAGTATTCATTCCCCAGTCACTCAGAGAAAAACTCATTGCTGTAATCCACTTCAGCCCTAGTTCCGGATACCCAGGCATTGCAGGCACCATTGATCTCATTCAGAACCGTTACTGGTGGCCCACCGTAAGAGGTGATGTAATTAAATTTATAAAGAACTGTTCTTCCTGTAACATTCATAAACATTTTCGCCATAGCCCTGCCGGACTCTTGCAACCCCTGGAAATCCCATGTCGTCCCTGGTCCCATGTCGCCATAGATTTCGTCACCGATCTTCCGCTCTCTCAAGGCCACACCACCATCCTAACTGTCATTGACAGATTCTTGAAGGCATGCAGGGTCATTCCCATCCCCAAACTCCCTGCAGCCCTGGAAACTGCAGAACTCCTATGCAATCACGTGTTCCCCTATTATGGTCTGCTCAAAGACATCGTGTCTGACAAAGGTCCCCAATTTACATCCAGAGAATGGTCTGCATTCTCTAAAAATCTGAACATCAACATCAGCCTCACATCAGGTTATCACCCACAATCCAACAGGCAAGTTGAAAGACTAAACCAGGAAATAGGACATTTCCTCCGCACCTACTGCCACCAAAATCAAAAGGACTGGAGTCGTTTTCACATGTGGGCTGAATATGCGCAAAATTCTCTCAGGAAGGCATCCACAGGGCTTACACCTTTCCAAGTTGTCCTAGGTTTCCAACCCCCCCTGTTCCTATGGTCAGGAGAACCATCTGAACTCCCAGCCCTCAATCACTGGTTCCAGAGATGTGAGGAAACATGGAACGCAGCCCACACTCACCTCTCTCACGCAGTCAGGAGATTCAAGGAGCAAGCGGATCGTCATCGACGACCCAACCCAGCATACACACCTGGACAGCATACACACCTCCACCAGAGATCTCCGCCTTAGACTCCCATGTAAAAAGCTTAGCCCCAGGTATGTGGGTCCTTTCATGATTGATCGCCAGATTTCTCCCATATCATACAGACTAAATCTGCCTAACCATTACCGCATCTCTCCCACTTTCCATGTTTCTCTGCTCAAGCCTGCTGCTGGTCGAGCCGAGGTGGATAGGGAGGTGGCAGCCGGTGATCAGGGTCCCCCGCCAATCGTCATCGATGGAGAGGAGGCTTATCAGATCCACGAGACCCTAAAGTCCAGACGCCGTGGGGGACAGCTCCAATACCTGATCGACTGGCAGGGGTACGGCCCGGAGGAATAATCATGGATCAACCGTAAGGACATTCTCAACCCTACTCTGCTAAGTGAGTTTCATCATCAACACCAGGAAATGCCGGCCCCTCGTCCCCGTGAGAGACCCCGGCGTCGTGGTCCCTCTCACTTCAAGAGCCATTCGCAGGAGGGGGGCTCTGTTACCGACTCGGTCCCAGCCATTCCCCTCGCTGGCCAGCAGAGGTCATCATCACCAGACTTTTGACATTCCGTCATCTCCAAAGACTGTTTGCCACATACACCTGCAGCACATCTCCTGATTACCACGCTCATACATATAAGCAGCACACACCTCACCTCAGTGCAAAGTCTTGTTCTGCCCCAGCAAACACTACTGAGCGTTCCTTATCCTTGCCTTTAATCGACCTTGTCTTACTTGCCGTCTGCCCTGAACCCAAGCCTGTACACTGACTTTGATCCTTGCCGCCAGCCTCTGACCCAGGCCTGCTTACTCAACCTGTGTTTACCTGCCGCCAGCCCTTCGACTTGATACAACTGTGTTTTATGTGAGTTCGCACACGAGTAACATCTGTGTGCTAATTATTAAACTTTAATAACTCTGCAAATGGATCCCTCTGTGTCAGACCCTTTGTTACAAAGTCGGTATTTCGACATAATTAAGTTGTTATTTCAAAATAATTATGTCATTATAACGAGATATTATGTCAAAATAATCAGATATTATGGTGTTATAATGAAAAATTATGTAGTTATAACGATATATTATGTTGTTATAACGACATAATACTGACATCATTTCTTGTTATAGCGATATATTATCTCTTGATAATGACATAATATCTCGTTATAATGACATAATATCTCATTATAACGACATAAGTTTTTTTCCCTTACCACCAAGATTGCTTCTTTTTTTTTTCACCTTGCGGTTCTGGGCTTCCGTAGTAGTATATGAACGACATACATTTAAAGGCGAAATTAAAAAAATCTCTCTTAAACAGCACTTCCATACATTTTTTGCAGATGCTTAATAAAGTTGACTGCTGAACTTTAAATGAAGTAAGTAAAAGTGGTATTTGTAGAATAAAGGTTTTCTTGTTACCAAACCATTACAGCGAGTAGCTAGTATTTTACTGTAAATAAAGCCTGGTACTGTCTAACAGTGCAGCTATTGACTGCACTAACGTGCTGGACTGATTTTTCTTTAAACTACAATACCTGAATGATCAATAAGGGTCCTATGACATTGGTGTTGAAGGAGTTTTTCATGTCCTCAGCCTGGCTGGTCTTAATGATGCCACGTGCCAAGATTGCAGCATTATTCACCAGTAGGTTCAATCCATTTGCTCCGAGTAAAGCACCCACTTTTTTGGCAGACTCCTTGATACTGCATGGATCATCAGCGTCTAATAGTAACAGAACAAAAGAACAATGCATTCTACAGTGCAAAAATGACTTTTCTTATTTAAATGTTTTGTCTTGTTTCTAGTGCAAATATCAAAGGTGCAAATCGTATAAGGAAGCATTTTGTCGACAAGTAAAAATTAACATATCGTTTTCAGAAATAACAAGTTACAATTAGATGTGTTTTACCTTAAAACAAGCAAAATAATCTGCCAATGGGTTGAGTAAAATATTTTTTTCTTGATTATTTACTTACCCTTAATGACTATGATTATTTTGCATGTCATAAAGAAAAACTTCCTTCATTTTGATTTATTTCTTTTGAAAACAAAACAATATTTTTACTTGTTGACTACATGCTTCTTAATTTAAGATTTTTTTATATATTTGCATTAGAAATTAGATTTTTAAAATGACAAAAACATTACCAAGACGTATGATAGTGATTACACTTGGATACTTTTTTGCCAGTTCTCTCAGTGCCTTAAAAAATGATAATGCACAGTTAATGCATACCAGTTTATATTCCAGTATTTTCTGTTGATGGTAACTATTCATAACTCACCTCAGACCTTGGTCCCTCTGGGTCACGGCACGTAGCAAAAACATGCTGATTTGGACAAGAATTCTCAGAAAGCTGCTTCACCATTTCTAAGCCCAAGCCCCGGTTGGCTCCTGTGATCAAGATATTGCTTGCTTTCACTTCTGCCATGTTTAGTCAGTCTGCTTCTGTTTGTTAAAAAGTTTCTTTGCATGCGCAGCCAACTGAACTCAACTTCCAGTGTAACGTTATGTAATAGTGGTGCGTCATGCTGAGATTGAGGATGTGATAAAAAGGTCGCCTGCTTCAACACTAGTATGGCAAGTTGTTTTAGCATTAAATACCCCTAGCTTTACTAGTTTTGACCAGGGGTGAACTTAGTGATTCGGGGGACCTAAGCAATTCTAGGTATGGTCAATGGCGGTTCTAGACCAGAGTAACTGGGGGGGCCGGGCAGGGGCCACTTGTACTTTTAGGGGGTACAATTTAACATACACTGTTAACCCTTACTGTAGATTATGCAGTAAATAACTGTAAAATACCCAGTGTTTAGCTGTAATGAAAGGAAACAGTATTTTACTGTAAAAGAAGCAGGATTTGTATGAAATTCTGTAATGCAAAGAATAAATCACAATAATTTACTCTATGTACCCATTACAGATATTTACTGCCATAATAAATGGTAAGTTACTGATCAACCATTACTGCCCCATCTAATCTAATGCTTTATGTTGCTATTTATATTTATTATATAATTTTATATATTTATATATATTTACTGTTCAGTTTTGATATGTGAATGGTCAGTATTGAGGGGAGAGTGGGACATTGCATTGATGATAAGCTGAATTTTACTGCAGCCATGTGTTTTCTTTGGTTTCTTTTATGTTTTAACATTGAGTATCAGGAGTCAACCAATGCCACAGAGATCATTAAAAGCTAAGCATAAGATATGGATAAAATGCATTTAAAGGCAAAAATATTCACACATAGCAAAGAAATTGTCATAATAATTATTATAACTTTGTTTACGTTTCTATAATTAGTCTAATTTGCCTAATTTAACCTATAGTTCAGCTTTTAAATTGCACTTTCAACTGAATATTAGTATTTTGCTAAATGACTAGTAAAAATGTGTTATTTAAAAAAAAAAATCTTAAACAGCACGTACATACATGTTTGCAGAGACTCAATGAATTTGTTTGGAAAACTTCAATTAAAGTAAGTAAAAGTGGCATTAACAGTATAGTATAAAGGCTTTCCTAAATAAATGTATAAATCATGTAATTTTTGTGTTTTTTTATTATTACTACAGATTTGGAACGACATGAGGATCAGATTATTTATTATCATTTTTTTTCCTATGGATGAAGTTTGCATATTTTAATTGTTTTTATTAAACAATATGTGCATAATTGTGATAAATGTAGGCAGTTGCTTTGAAAATATGCTATGCTCCAGGGGTGTCAAACTACTAGAGGGCCGCAGCCTAGCAGAATTTAGTTCCAGCCCTGCTTCAACACACTACCTTTAGATTTAGTTTAATCAGGTGTGCTTAATTAGGGTAAAGCTTAACTGCACTCTTACCCTGTAGATTATGCAGTAAATAACTGCAAAATTGTCAGTGTTTTGCTGTAATGAAAGGAAACAGTATTTTACTGTAAAAGAAGTAGAGTTTGTATAAAATTGTGTAATGCAAAGGATAAATTACAGTAATTTACTTTATGTACTGTGACAATAAATGGCAAATTACTGTTCAACCATTACTGTCCCATATACTCTGATGCTTTATGTTGCTGTTTATAGAGACGTGCATTTTAAAGGCAGAAGACAATGATTTAGGCCTCACCACACTCCCACAGGCTGTCTTATTCTAAACACAAAGGTATTAGAAAAAGTTTTCAGAAAATGCTGGCTCTTTAAGGGAGCCAGGTGTTTGATTTGTTTACTGCTGTGTGCTCTATTCTTTGTCTATCAATTCAGATGTAGAATCTGATGTTTTAGGCTTTAAATAAGAATCTACAATGAGTAAGTAAAATTTGTTCAAATGTTTTTGAGGGTTTCTAAAGTAAGGCTTGAACTGTGTACTTGAAAGCTACATTGTTAGCTAGTTAGCCTCTCCTCGCTTTTAAGTATATTTATTTATTGGATATTGCATATTGCAATAATGTACAGATGCGAAAAGTTTATGCACATAAAAACCAATAAATTCCATCACCTCAGTAAGGTAACATGCACAGAAATAATCACAGGGAATCAAAAAAAAAAATAGGATTCAAATAACTATCCACACACTAAAGCTCCACTGTCAGGTCACAGGTTGTGAGTTTGTTGCTAAGTATTTTTCAGAGCAGTGTTTCCACCTATGAATTTATATTAGAAACAATAGAAAAGTTTGTGGTCATGAGATTTTAAAGTAGATAATAATTATAACAATAAAAGATTGGATCCTTTGGATTTTCGGTGTTGCCGACTTTGTTTTTGTTTTTTAGAATTATTTTAAACTTTTTATTGAGAATTGACACAGTATCTGCCTGTGTTTGACAAACATGTTTCTATATATATATATATATAGAGTATGTGTGTGTTCTTTTCATATGCTTATTTTTTAATTATTTGAAACTTTAAAAAATAAAATAAATATTTTGTGTTTTTTGCTGTTTAGTTTTTTTTTTGTTGCATGGTCAGCATTGAGGAGAGAGAAACACATTTTACTGCAGCACTTTCTCTGTGTGTGTGTGTGTGTGTGTGTGTGTGTGTGTGTGTGTGCATTTTTTTTATTTGATATGTGATTGTGATAAATGTTGGCAGTTGCTTTAAAAATATGCTATATGGGTGTCAAACTCCAAGATCCTGGAGGACTGCAGCGCAGCAGAGTTTAGTTCACACCCTGCTTCAACATTACCTGTAGATTTCTAACAAGCCTTAATTAGTTTGATCAGGTGTGTTCAATTAGAGTTACAGCTTAAAGTCCCAGTCACACTGCACTTTTCTTCCTTTAGACTTCTATTCATACGCATATGAATGCTGCAGAACTGGAATGATAGCTCATGCGAAAAATGTAACTGTTCGCAGCATTGGAAAGTTCAAACTTGGAGATCTCTGACCTGCGAAGTCACATCATGTGATTGCTTGAGACCAATCAAAGATCAAAACATGACCTGTCTGAACAAAAATTTTAACTATGGACCAGTCGCTTGCTTTTTCAATCTCTAATTATTTTGTTTAATCCCACTTCTCACTTCCCACTACTTGCATGCTCAAACATTAGTGACCGCAGCCTTACTGTGCAGACCTGTAATATGTAAGATGATATTTATATCTGCTGATTTCTTAATTTTGTTATACATTTTCTGTTGTATATTTGTTTGCTGCCAAAACAATAAAATACATTTGTCTAAATTTTTATGCCTTCTATTTTTAATAACAGGTAAGAATACTAATTATTTTTAGTAAGACTATGACATACTATTAATGTGTATGCAGTATAATGCTGTGAGTTGTAACACTACAGTACAGTAATTAACTTTAAACAGTTTCCAGTTAGTTACCACTACTTCTCTATTACAGTAATTAACTGGCAACACTGTTGCCAGCTACTCACTGTAATGGTTCGGTTACAGTAAACAACTGGCAACACTGTTGCCAGTTACTTACTGTAACCAAACTTTTACAGTGAGTAACTGGCAACAGTGTTGCCAGTATTCTACTGTAAAAACGCCCGGTAAGGTCTAACAGTGTACATAACAAACTACTTAAAGGGGTGGTCCACTACGATCTCATATTTTAAACTTTAGTTGATGTGTAATGTAGCTGTGTGAAAATAAACAGCATCTCTGAATGTAAAAAGTTCTAAGTTCAATGCTAAGGGAGACCTTGGTTTTTACAGAGTTAGCTTAGCAAAGCCTACAATGAACGAATTTTGGGGACTACAAAAAAATACTTCCGCCCCCTGTGACATCACAAGTTCGTTTACTGCGCATCCCACACTGCGCATGCAGGTAAGGTCCGTGGCCAGAGGTGCTGTAACGTTATAGCAGAGATGAAGCTAAAAATGCATCTAAACACGGCTGTTTCCACAGAGCTTCATCTGTTTCTGTATTTGGGCTTCCAAAGGACACGACACAAAGACAGAAGTGCCTTTAGTTCAATATTAATTAACTTCCAGAGAATTATAAAATACTCAGCAAGCATGATTTGACAAAACAGCTCCTGAATCTCTCCAAGTTCAGTGCTGGATTCGGCTAAAATCTCCTCAAAGCAGAAGTTGTGATCTACAAGTAAGTGTTTTTATTTTTTAAAATTGATCATGACATGTACAGTGTCTAGCGTTAACTGTATGCTGTAGCAATGATGTAAACAATGCGAAATGCTGCTTTGCGGGCAAACGATTTAGCTACAAACTCACATTTATCAGCCAAACTCCTGTAAACACACACTCACTCCACCAGCACGATCTCTTATGTGTGTGCGCGACTGCACTGATTGTCTTGGCTTTTTCATGTGTTTCACATCTCAGATAATGAAGTCGCAAAAGATATGTGGATGATTTATATTACTTACACCTGCATATTCCGGATACTCGTGAAAGACGTCATGACGCATAGAGTTAAAAAAACACAGATTAGCTTACCTGACTAGTGGTCGCAGCAGAATAATAAATCAAGGCTCAACAGGTAGCATCTCACATCTTGTGCTTTATTCTTCTGTCACGATATATTACAGAAAATAACTTAATCCGAGCATCAGAGAAAAAGAAAGTCCCACGCTCTTGCGCTTGTTACAGAAAGTTCACACCACACAAACACACACATAGACGCACACACAGACGCTGTTAAAGGAGCCGCACCCCTTTTTCACTCGTTAGTTACAGACACTTGTCAGATGTTATTTTAGAGAGCGGGCGCGAGGTTGACTTCATGTTTACACAGCAGAAAAGCGTGTGCTTTTACGGGCGTGACGTGGAGCCGATCCGCCAATAGCAGCACATTATGTCGATGACCAATCAGAGTCACTTAAGGGCGGGCCTTTTAGAGGAACTAGGAAATATGACAGTCGTTTTCATGTTAGCTGAGTAGCTGTGTATAATCAAAGTGAGATATATGAAAAAATTACGCGATTTCCGTCAAGTGAAACATAAGCACACATTGCTTTGCATCTTATAAACACAACCAAGCCTTAAAATTACATTCTGGACCACCCCTTTAATTATTTAAAGTCATTATTTTCGGCATCCCTCTGCAGTCCTCATAAACTTTCATTCAT